TACAACTCGCGGGGCTCGAATGCCCACACAATTCCATATTGTTATCATCAACATAAGATCAAATCAATCAAACGCTTCACATTACATGCAAAACATAAAATGAGTACCAAATTACCCGACTAGGCCTCTTAGGCCCCAACCCATTTCATCGACTCAGCTCGTCAAAAGGCGTAAAATGTGAATAGCCTAAAAAAGGTTAGGCCAAAGCCTGGAACAATCAATAGTACGTCCACGGGTCCCAAAGCACCCAAATGTTATACGTTGGTATGCATCCGTTCAGAAAATCTCGACACGATGTTACGTATCGCACGAATCACAAGCGAAAGTCTGCCAAATTTGATAATTAACGCGACTCCAGAACAGTTCTGGTTAGAACATGTCCCAGAGTCGGGGGCCTAATGTTGATACCAAATTTGGTCTTGTCTAATGAAGATGCTACACGTGGATATATATTAAATAAATATAAATATAGCAGGTCATCTGAGCTGATTATTTAACTGAGTTCCCCAAGTGTCCAGATCTCCCACGTTCAAGTCGAGAAGATTTAAATATCGCCAGCCCGACCCGAATACCGAGAAGATCCATTCCCGGAAGACACAATAATTGCCGATAAAGTAGACGCCATTCGAAGCCATCAAGTGTCGCGATCGGGCCCCACAAAGTCATGTCACATTAAACACTAGTGTACCTTTTTATCTATTTTTTAATTGGCCCACTTGTAAAAGGGCTTGGGTATATATAGATAGTGAGGAGAGNNCTCCATCTTCTACAACACACCAAAATCAAAAAAAGTGAGATACCTTCATCTCCCAAAATCATGAAAAATGCATATTGATCCTACATCGATTATTCACAAAATAGGGGTGTATATTCTCGTTGATACAAATCCGTTTATCAACAGTTTGGCGCTAGAAGGAGGGCTCCGTAATTTGCTCGGAGTCAATTTTTGCCGGAAAATGGCCACATCTCCACCGACAAAATACAACTCCAAGTTAAGAAAGACTATTCATAACTTTACACCATTTTTCCTGTATTCAGTACTTTGTTCTTGATGAATATACATGTCCGATGTTTTTTCTGCATAAGTTTTCCTCCCTGAACAAAAGCTTTCTTGTTCTAAACAAAAAACTCTCAGATTCTGTATCCGACTTGATCTCTCGTTTTCTTCCAAAAAAAAAAAATAATAATAATAAATTGAACTGAAAGGGCTTTCGGCAAGCGGGAGACTCCAAATAAGCAAATCCCCTTATCTCAAAGTTCGCCGTCTTTCTT